ACACACATACACTTTATACCAAGAAGTAAATACACACACACAGACACACACACACACACACACACATATACACTTTATACCAAGAAGTAAACATACACACACACACACACACACGCACACACACACATATATACACTTTATACCAAGAAGTAAATATATATATACACACATACACTTTATACCAATAAGTAATTATATATCAAGAGAGAATCCCAGCCCAGTCCAACTCAAGTCCATAAGTCCGACACTAGTCCATAAGTCCCTTTTCAGACTCATGCAGCCACAAGCAATGGTGCAGAATGCAGGAAGACCACAGGCTGGTGGGTTGTCTGAATCCAGTGTTGATGGAAACATGTCAAGACTCTGGGAGCTCTCAGGGTGGCCAGCAAGCAGGAATAATTAAGGGAAGAACCTGAGAGGGTGTGCCCCAAGGTCTCTGCTTATAAGATGGCCATACTGCCAAGGACACAGCATTAGGCTGTGACCTGATTGACAGGGTTGACTCCACCTCTAGCCAGGAGAGTCTCATAACCTCCATTATATAATATCAATTCCCCTTTGTAACCAGGATCATACACCAATCAACAATTAACTCCTTTATTTTCCTGTTGATCCAGAGGCATGAGAAGCCCCAAATGGCCAGGACACATTCTTAACTTCCAGTTTAATGGAATCAATGTTGTATCTCCAGATGGAAATATATCTTCATTTGGACCTCCAGACCCAAGGAGCATAGAGTCTCAGGAACAGGAAGCATGAATGTAGTGAGCCATTAGGAATAATAGTGAGTGTGCCACTTCCATTTTTACTCCTAGGTTTCTGGATCCATGAAAACTGCCTTTTGGAGAAAATGCAACATATATTGGATGTTAGTTTAGAACATATACAACCTCCTGGGGAAGATTTCCCCAAACTTGCAAGGTATTGCCACCAAGCTGGCATTGTAATTGTGTCTTTAGAAATCCATTCTATCATTCTATCAAGCTAGATGCTTAAGAATTATGGGGAAATGGTAATACCAGTGGATTCCATAAGCATGGGCCAATAGCTGCACTTCATTTACTTTGAAGTTATTTCATTAATCTAAGGAACACTGTGAGGGGTTCCATGTCAGTGGCATTTGAGCCACTTCTTCATGCAGCTTACTTATATCTTCAGGTCTTACTCAAGCCCAATCTTGTTTATGCCATGTCCACTTAATGATGGAGTGCTGCTGAGGATGCCCACTTTCATGGTCTGTGGGTCAGATAACATCCACTTCATGACGGATGGGAGCTCAGGTCACAGAGTTACTTGAGGCATTTGGTCTCTCTTGAGTCTCAATACATGCCCAAAGCTGTTTCTCAAAAGGAGAGTAGTTGTATGCAGTATATGCCAGGGTTTTAATCCAAAATCCAAGGGATCTTCACTGTGATTCACCAATAGGTGAGTGACCAAAGACTCCAACTGCATCTCTGTCTTCCATTGGCATTTCAAACACCATTGTATCAGCTGGATTATATCATCCACATGGCAGGGCAGCTTGCACAGCAGTCTTATTCTGAGTCCCACTTAAAGTCAGCAGCTTTCTGAGTCACCTGAATAGGTTGAAGTAGCATAACCAAATGAGGGCTATGTTCACCCCCAAATCTAAAGAGGTTCATAAGGCACTGTGCCCTTTTAAAAATTATAAGGCACCAGACACAATAACTTATCCTTCACTTTAGTAGGAGTATCTTGACATGCCCACCCACTGAACCCCTAGAAATTTCAGTGAGGTGGAAAGTTCTTATGATTTTGCTTCTCTAGAACTATTCTGGTACCAAATGTGTTAGGCTTGGCTCTCTAGAGAAGCAAAACCAGTCACACACACACACAGAGAGAAATGTATATCAAGAAAATGGCTCATGTGCTTGCAGAAGAGGGCACATCTGTCTTGGAGGAAGTATAGTCAGAGTGTTCCTTAGAAGTGAGGCTGGTGAGACTTCATCTCATGTTTCTTGGACATGTTATCAGGAAAGACTTATCTGGAAAAGGACATCATACTTTATAGAAGGTCATCAAAAAGGAAGAAGATGGCCCTTAACAGGATGGATTGACATAGAGACAGCAACAATATGGGCTCAAACAACAATTATGAGGACCAGACAGTCTTGTTATGTTGTGTATGTGTTCAGTAGGAGTTGGAATCAACTGAATGGCATCTAAAAATAATGTTTCGTAACATAACCTTATAACAGTGGTTCTCAACCTGTGGGTTGTGACCCCTTTGGGAGTCAAACGATTCATAACAGTAGCAAAATTACAGTTATGAAGTAGCAACTAAGTAATTTTATGGTTGGGGGGGGGTCACCACAACACGAGGAACTGTATTAAAGGTTTACGGCATCAGGAGGGTTGAGAACCACTGCCTTATAACATTATACTTCCATTTCCCCCTTCCATTCTTTTGACCATTTGCCATACATTTTACTTGGATATTATAAACTTCATAATATATTGTTTGCTTTTTATCATTGTCTTTTATTTAAAAAGGTATTTTATACTTATACATGTCTGACACTTCTTTTTTCCATAGGTTTCATTAATACATTTCTGGTTTTAATATTCATTCTAAAACTCATCCAATTTAGTAGATTTTCTGTGAGATTAGGTTCCTTGGCCATTATATCTCTTGGAACACCCTGGGAGATTGCCCAGTACAACAAATATTTTTGTGTGAAATAAGTAACATCATAAAATATATCAGAGTTGAGTATTTTAAGATATGTGAAGTTACTCTGTGCTCCAAGTTTTGGCATTTTACAAGAAAAATTCATTTAAAAATACTGATGGAAGTCTGTCATTAGACTCTGCTGCAATTTTTCAAAGAATGTGACATGTCATGGGCGATAGAAAACTTCAGTGCAATAAATTCCAAAAACTAGCATTCTGCACAGTCCCTCAAGTCTACCACAATTCTCCTTAGAAGATCGCAGGCCCACAAAGAAGCCCGAGGAAGTGCAGAGAGGCCCAGACATGTTCCGGAAGAGCAAGCTCAACAGTGTCTCGGCAGGACCAAGCATTGCAGGCGGATTTCAGAGGGTCTTTCGTGCGTGCGTGGGCGCGTCGAAGGCAGGCGATTGTAGCTCGGTGAGGATCTCAGAAAAGGAGGCCGCTGGGCTCAGCGAGAGTGGGGCAGAGAGAGGCGAGGATCAACATCGAGGCCTGGGTAAGCCTCTTCTCTTCAAACGTCTCCCGCAGGATCAGTAGGGTTTGCATCCCAAGGCCCAGGCCTTTCCTGAGACGGCGAGTGGGCCGGGCCCGGCACTGGGCTCTCGTGTCACCGGTGCAGGTGTGGCCGGTCCCCTCAGTGGCTTCCTCACTGCAGGCACGGAGTTTGTCCAGGCACTTTTGGTTGTTCTAGCCACTGGGACGCCCTTTCAATTTCGCGCGCGGGGAGTACACTCCTCGTTCCCAAGGTCCCCTCGGCTCCCTGGACTCCCTAGGGCCCTAGGACCCTGTAAACGGTTTGCCGTCACGCCCCCACGTCCAACTTCCGGGGCGGGGCGGTTCCCGGGCCGGATCCGTCAGTGTTCCCACGAGGTGGCGCTCCCTCCCGCAGCTCCGCCAAGCTCCTCTCTGGGAGCCCGCCCGCCAGACAGTTGCTGCGGACGCACTGACGACGGCGCGGCGGCGTGGGCGTCGTCAAGGCAGCCGGTGATTGGTTGCGTGCTGTGGACGTGAGGCCTGTGTCCAGAGCCGACGGCGCCCAGCGGTCCGCCAGAAGGGCCATGCTGCGCTGGCTGCGTGGCTTCGTGCTGCCGCGGGCGACGTGCCAGGAGGACAGCTCCTACGTCCTGTACGAGGCCCTCTTCCAGGAGCTGGACCGCAACGGGGACGGGGTGGTGGACATCTTGGAGCTGCAGCGGGGTCTGAAAGACTTGGAAACCTGGTTTACCACGGGCTCGGAGCAGGTGAGGGGCCAACAGAAGGCGGCGTGGGGGCGTCTGGAGGGACGTTGGGGTGACGGGTAGCCGAACCTGCCCTCCGCAGGGGCCCCCTCCAGAGCTGAGAAGGTGGAGTGGCGGGAGAGCTCCCCTGGCCCGCAGAACCCGGCCCCACAAGTTGGACATTTTGCTCCTACGTCGTGACAGTGACAAACGCCTTCTGAGTGGGTTTCTGGGGGCTCATGGAACAGGTACCGAACCCACACAGT